TGGTAAAATACACGTAACATCAAATTTACCACGTAATAATTTTAAAGTGTATACTGTGGCCACGTGATTATACACAGTGCTGTGCAACCATCAACCCCAGCTACTTCCAACACTTTTACGTCACCCAGAATGTCACCCAGAGTGACATTACGTCACTCTCATCCTTTCCACTTTTTCTTTTTTCTTATTTATTTATTTGTTTGTTTTCTGAGAGTCTTGCTCTGTTCCCCAGGCTGGAGTGCAGTGGTGCGATCTCAGCTCACTGCAACCTCTGCCGCCCAGGTTCAAGCAATTCTCCTGCCTCAGCCTCCTGAGTAGCTTGGATTACAGGTGTGTGCCATCACGCCTGGCTAATTTTTGTATTTTTAGTAGAGACAAGGTTTTACCATGTTGGCCAGGCTGGTCTTGAACTCCTGACCTCAGGTGATCCACCTACCTTAGACTCCCAAAGTGCTGGGATTACAGGCATGAGCCACCGTGCCTGGTTCTCTTTCCCATTTTTAAGCCAGCTCTCACAAAAGGTAAAAGTTTGGATCAGCACCATAGGAAAGGTTAAAAAAAAAAAAAAATCTGGAAAAGGCAGAGCTGCTGGAAAGAACAGGAGGTCCCCAGGGTGTGGCCCACATGGCAGTCACTCTGCTTCTTGGCTACACCATAGGCATAGGCGTCCTCATCCCAGAGACAGCAGTTGGTCCTGGGAGAGTCGCAGCTAATTCGTGTGAACTGTGAGTCACTGGAACCACCCACACCCACCTGACTGTTGAACGTGTTTCGGCCAAATCAAGTGATTTGGTTCTTTTTCTCTCTGCAGTTCTTGACCCAATCAGGGTGAATCACTTAGTTCCTACAGACAGGGAACTCTCTGGCCTCTGAACACATGATCACGGCCCTCAAAATAAGTTCTCTTATCGTGGAGGCCCCCTTTGGCCGGGATTTTCTGTGGGACACTTCCCTTTTCTCCAGCTGGGTAGTTGCCTGCAGATACGAATCTCTGCCCCTCAGAATATCTCTCCCAGGCTGGGCACAGTGGCTCATGCCTGTAATCCCAGCAATTTGGGAGGCCAAGGTGGGAGGACTAGTTGGGCCCAGGACTTTGAGACCAGCCTGGGCAACATGGCAAAACCTTGTCTCTAGAAGAATTACAAAAATTAGCCGGGCATGCTGGCGCACACCTGTAGTCCCAGCTTGCCATGCTGCCCAGGCTGGTCTTGAACTTCTGGGCTCAAGTGATCTACCTGCCTCAGCCTCCCAAAGTGCTGGGATTACAAGTGTATGAGCCACCGCATCCGGCACAATACGGTTTTTACTGAACCAGGGTTTATTGGGAGGCAGGAGGAAAGATTGATGGTGATGATGATGGATTGAATTCCCTGCCATGCTGGGCATGAAACACACAGAACACAGATTTGAGACTGCTGGGCCTCTTCTCGAACCCCTCCTCCCCCTCCCAGGTACCAGGGCGGCTGAGGTGGGAGGATCTATTGAGCCTGGGAGGCGGAGGTTGCAGTGAGTCAACATTGCGCTACTGTATTCCTGGGTGACAGAGTGAGACCCTGTCTAAAAAAAAAAAAAAAAAAATCCTCCCAGCTGCACCAAACATCTGTAACTCTGGACACAACTCTGGTAAGTGTCTTCAAGGTGAAATAAGAGCTCTTGGGTGAGGGAGCGTTGTGATTTGCACTCCCCTGGCTCAGGAAGGCTGGTGCTGGTTCTTCTCCTGACGCTGTACACTGCGTGGACCTCGGGGGAACCTCTGGCCTCACTTCCAGCATCTGCACTTGGTCCACTCTAACTGGCTTTCAGGTGGACAAGGACCCCCAGAACCACTCACCTACCTCAGCGGGCCACCCTGCCCACCACACCTCCCAGGCTGGGGCCCTTGGGGCAGGGACCCACCTCATGTTCCGACATGCTGACCGAGCACTGGATGCCCGTGTCCACTGGGTTCCGCTCCACGAACTGCTCGGCCAGCTCGGGGTTGGGTGCGATATCAATGTTCAGCTCGGCCTGGTGGTCCGAGAAATTGCACTGCTTCCCGAACTCGCTGCGCTTCTTGACGTACACGTACACAATCTCCATGGTGCCGGCTGCTGGGGGACGGAGGGAGGGTATGGGGTGAGGGACCCCACCGGCCCCTTCCCCATCTCCACAGGTCCCGCCAGGACGACTCCAGGTTCTCAATCTGGTTGGGGCAAGAAGCAAGGGGTGCTGGGGAGAGCCTAGGGATTTGTCCACAAGCTGCATCTGCATTTAAGAAAATCCCCTGAGCGCTGACTCTATGCTAAGCATTATTCTGTTTAGTTCTTGCAATTGCTCTCTGAGGAGGGCAATACAAGTCACCATTTCAGCCAGGCACTGTGGCTCACATCTGTAATCCCAGCATTTTGGGAGGCCAAGGCAGGCAGATAACCTAAGGTCAGGAGTTCAAGACCAGCCTGGCCAACATGGTGAAACCCCATCTCTACAAAAATACAAAAATTAGCCGGATGTGGTGGTGCACACCTGTAATCCCAGCTACTCGGGAGGCTGAAGCGGAAGAATTGCTTGAACCCAGGAGGAGAAGTTTGTAATGAGCCGAGATCATGTCATTGCACTCCAGCCTGGGTGACAGGGCAAGACTCTGTCTTCAAAAAAAAAAAAAATGGCCGGGTGTGGTGGCTCAAGCCTATAATCCCAGTACTTTGGGAGGCTGAGGCAGGTGGATCGCCTAAGGGTGGAAGTTCCACCTAATTTTGTATTTTTAGTAGAGATGGGGTTTCTCCATGTTGGCCAGGCTGGTCTGGAACTCCTGACCTCAAGTGATCCACCTGCCTCGGCCTCCCAAAGGGCTGGGATGACAGGCATGAGCCACCGCGCCCGGCCTTGTTTCCTTTTTTCTTGTAGTTTGGAAATTCCCTTTCCTGGGTGGAAGCAATGGCTTAGAGGGCACAGGGTGGGATGAGAAGCCCAGATTGCCGCAGGTGCCCCAGGGAGTTTATCCCACATGGACAAAGATAGGGCCTTGTGGAAAAGCATGCGAATCCCGGGGCATCCTGCCCTTTGACAACACATTGCGAAGCATCTGCACCTCCCACATGGGGCTGCGAGACTCAGGCAATTAGGGCTCTGTCTTTTAAAAGACAATTGCTGCAAGCCAGCTGGCTCCTAGGGGACACAAGGAGGCTGAAGAGAATGAGGAAACTCCAGGAAGACAGAAATAGCCTCTTTAGCCCAGATCAGATTTTTAACAGCTTTGCCTTCCTTCTTGGTGCTTCCCAAGGCCAAGACCCGCACGAGAACGGAGGCATTGTCTTGTGTCTGGAGGCAGACAGAGGGGACATTTAAAGACTGGCCCAGTGACGGGAAGACAACCCATTCAAGGACCCAGAGTAAGCTCTTTCTCATAAGCTCGTAGGGCACACAGATGAATGGCGAGGTCAGCAGAAGGCGTCTCAACAGATCTCCCCCAGCCTCTTATGAGACAAGTCTTACAGGGTGGGCTTCCTCAAGCAAGGTCTGAGCAGGGCTGTCTGCAGGGGGGTGACAGAGTGGGGACAGGAGCACTGTCACTGCCCTTTGAGGGTTTTAGGGGGGAGATCCTCCCCCTGTGGGAACCTAGAGTCCCAGAGGTGTGCAGAACACCACTGTGAGTCTCAAATACAGGAACACGCAGAATCAGGGACGCCGTGGTCCAGACATCAAAGATTCAGGCGTCTCCCGCATCCCCGGGGAGGCAGTCAGTTGGGAACCTTCACTGATTATACAAACAAAACTTGTCTTGTGCAGTGAGAATGAGCGAAATAATTCCTGGAGAGAACCTCCGGTGGCTTAAGGGAAAGTGTGTTTTCCAAGCCGGGAGGGAGGCCAAGGGAGTGATGGGGAGGGGCAGTGCCGGCGTGGGAGACTGGGAAGGAGGCACACTGGAAGGTTGGCCCTCCGAATTGAACTCCCTGGTGGAGTAAGGAGATGAGAACATTTTCCTCTTCTTCTTGGTCCCTGGCGAAGCCCCTACTGGGTTCCCGGGGCTGGTGGGCTCTCCATGGAACCTGGCAGGGGAGGGTTTCCTTCGTTCTTTCTTTGTTGTTTTTGAGACAGAGTCTTGCTCTGTCACCCAGGCTGGAGTGCAGTGGCCTGATCTCAGCTCACTGCAACCTCCACCTCCCAGGTTCAAGTAATTCTTCTGCCTCAGCCTCCCAGGTAGCTGGGACTACAGGTGTGAGCCACTGCACTTGGCCAGAATTTTTGTATTTTTAGTAGAGGTGGGGTCTTGCCATGTTGGTCAGGCTGGTCTTAAACTCCTGACCTCAAGTGATCCACCCGGTACCTGGGCCTCTCAAAGTGCTGGGATGAGCCACCACGCCAGGCTTTCTGGTCCTTGTGCAACTTCCGGAATTCCAGGGTCCTAAGGGATTCACTCTAAACCCTCAAAAGAGGCAGACCTCCCTAGAAAGCCCCATTTGTTTCCCCCCAGGCTAGCAGTAAGCATGGCTGAGCCCCACAAGACAGGTGAAGGTTGAGGGCAGGGAGAGGTGGGAAGAGATCCCCAGAATTGGAGAGAGACAGGGATCAGTGTCTCCCTGCCCTCACCACTACCACGTGGTCTCCCTGATGGAAAGACTGTGGTCTTTTATTCACTCCCATCCCTAGGGCCTGGCACATAGAAGGGGCCTAAGACTCCTGTCACCTGCTGCGTTAGTGACTGTGATACCAACACCTACCAGGCTTCTCTCTAGAGCTCTCTCTGCTGACCTTGAAAACCAAGCAAAGGACTTGAAACAAAGGATTCAAGAGGAAAACACTTAGGGTCTGAAAGCTGGGAGAGGGTGCACTTCTGTGGTTGAAAAAAGTGAATGTGGTAAACCTTGACCTTGAGCAGGAAGGAGCTGCACACGACCTGGAGGAACTTGCCGACTGTGTGACCTTGATCACACGAGAATGCCAGCTCCCAGGTTGAGGAAGAAATGAAAGAAAGCACTTAAAACACCTGCCACATAGCAGGTGTGCAATACTGTTAATTTACTTCCCGCTAGCCTGAGCAGAAAGCTCTGCTCTTAAAGGGCCCATCTTCCCATCACCTTAGCCCAAGGCTGTTTTTTTTTCCCCCTCCATCCATTCAGCTGTAAATCCTTCAGGGGTCTCCAGTTCATTCCAGGGAACGGATTGTATCAGGAGCTGAGGGGGTAGCGGGGCTATGAGGGTGTTCAGAGGCAGCAGGGTCCTGCGCCTTACAGCAGATCCAGCAGAGCGAGGATTAAGGGGACAGAAGGCACTAGAAGCGCCAGCCCTGGCATCCACCATCCGGCATAGCTATCTCAGAAGGGAGCCCCCCAAGAGGAATTTTTGGCATTCTTGGTGATTATTACCCTAGAGGTCTCTCCCCATCACTCTCCACCTTCACCTTTAGCCTCGGACGTCCTCCTGGGGCCCGCCCCTTACCCTGGGTCCGCTCCTCCTGCTTCTGGGCCTCAGGGGAAGCGCCCAATCCAACGACCCTGGCTCCCGCGCTCCTGAAACGGCATCGTTTACCGGTTGCCTAGCAACCCCGGCCCGGCTCCGGACGCGGAAGGACCCCGGAGCACGTGACTCCCGTCCTGTCGCGTCGGAAGCGCAGCCGGTTCCTCCTCTTTTTAGAGGTCTCCGGAGTTAGGAGAAATATTAACCAACAAGCTGGTAACATACCAGTAGTGATGATGAACATTTGTAGGGGCGTTGCCAAGGCGCCTATCCAAGCCTACGTTTGTATGTATTTGCATCGAGCAAGGTACCCAGAAAATGCAAGGAAGAATAGTCAGCGCCTGGGAAACCCTGATCCCTGGGTGGTGATGGTGGTCTCTGCTTTCGATCTTGGTCGACGGTTTGGTCATGCCTTCCATCAGTCTCCTCAACCATGAAGTGGGAATTACAACCCCGCCCTCCCCTCTGCTACCATCCTTCCTGCACTTGGTGTGGTAAACACATCTTCCTGCACCACCAGAATGGAAACTCCTTGGGTGTAGAAGCTGGGGATTTTTACAGCTTAGCTGGGTGGTTGGCACAAAATGTACTGTGTTCATTGAATGAATGGATGAATGAATGAATGAACGAATGAAACGAGTCATGTTTCTCAGGGGGTTAGGGCAATTGAGATCATGTAAATTAAAACAAGGAAATTTGGAGCTAGAAAAATGAGTCTGAATCCCAGCTTGGCTACATACTAATCTCGTGACCCTGGTCAAGTTACTTTCCTTTTCTAAGACTCCGCTACCTCAGCTGGAAAGTGGCAGGACACTGGCGGTGCTTAGTAGATAATCGGAACGATTAAGTGAGAGACAACACCGGACCGTGTCCCGCCCCGTCCAGAGTTACTGGTGCCTGAATGAACGGCAGCTCGGGGAATGAGGCTATCCCGAGTTCAGACGCTGACATCGGAGATTTGGGCTGGGAGAGAACAGGAGTGCGTCATCCAATAAGTGGGATTGGGTTTGGAACTGAGCCTTGAAAAATGGTTATGAAAAAAAGAGAAAAAAAATCAGAAAAAGAATGCAATGGCATGCAAAAAAAGAAAAAAAGAAGAAAAGAAAAATGGTTATGAGTTGCAGGGAAGAGGAGTGGGGAGAGCATTCCAGGTTCGGGGAGGGCGTGGTGTGAGCAAGGAAGGAAGGTGGGGGTCATCGTGAAGAAAGGCATTTTGCGGGGATGGTGGGTGGATCAGTCTGGCTGAGGTTGAGAGTCCCTGCAGGGGAAAAATGACAGAGGAATTTGCAAAGGTCAGCTGGGACCAGCCTGTGTGTGTGTGTATGTGTGTGGGGTGTCCCAAGAGAGGCTGGCTGAGGGGCCCAGACAGCTTGCCATGGGAAGCCCTCAGCCGGTTTGGGATCTGTGAAAGGACAGGAAGGAAGCAAACGTTTTTCTACGACTTCCCAACTTCTCCATAAACGTGTTGTCACCACTACCCACCTGCCTTTAGTGGGACAGATACAGGGAAATTCCCAGTGAGACGTCACCTTGCAGGGCCACACTAACCAAAAACAAGCCCCTAAATGACTGCTGCCACCAACCTCTCCTGATCCGTCCGGCTCCCACGTTTCTCAGGACAAAGAACTCTTAGGGGTGGGTGCTGAGGGTCCTGATGGGGGCTGGATGGAGGAGGTCCTGAAAGCCCCACTGAAATGGCTTTAAGGGCTGGAGGCAGTGGCTCACACCTGTAATCCCAGCTCTTTGGGAGGTTGAGGTGGGCGGATCACTTGAGGTCGGGAGTTCAAGACCAGCCTGACCAACATGGAGAAACCCTGTCTCTACTAAAATTAGCCGAGTGTGGTGGCACATGCCTGTAATCTCAGCTACTCAGGAGGCTGAGGTAGGAGAAATGCTTGAACCCGGGAGGTGGAAGTTGAGTGAGCCAAGATTGTTCCATTGCACTCTAGCCTGGGCAACAAGAGCAAAACTCCATCTCATTAAAAAAGAAAAAAAGAAGCCAGGCGTGGTGGCTCACGCCGGTAATCCTAGCACTTTGGGAGGCCGAGGTAGGTGGATCACCTGAGGTCAGGAGTTCAAGTCCAGCCTGGCCATCATGGTGAAACCACATCTTAAAAAAAAAAAAATGCTTTGTGTGGTCAGAAGTGAATCAGACCCAAGTCTCCAAGAGTAGAAAATGATCCACTCCATGATGGGGCAGTGACCGGCTGGGGTTGCAATCATAATCCAACCCTCTCCACTCCACCCACAGCCCTGGGACACCGAGGGCTCTCTGCAGTCACATTATTTCCTGGGTAGGAAAGTGGGTTAGAAAGGGAGATAGGAGAGATTGAAAGCGAAGTGCAGCCACCTTTACCATGTTATCCAACAATTTATTACAGGCTCCCCCCACCCCCACCCTCACCCAGAAGGCTGCAGGCTGCCGACCACAGAGGGCGGCTCTGTTCACTGGCCAAACAGTCACTCCTTGGCAGGCCCGCCTCAGCATGAGGTCATATAATTAGGAGTATTCAAAAGGCTCTAGTTTCAAAACAATTGCAGTGCCTCTCAGATCTTCACCCAATCACAGCATAATTGGCAACCGAAATCCTTAGCTGAGAGCAGCCCCTGGGCCTGGACATCCCCAGCCCAATCCTCAACCCATGGCACTGCTGTGTCCCTCTTTGGTCTCCATTCTTATGTGTGTGGCGAAACACACATAAAAGTTATCATCTTAACAATTTTTCAGTGTAGAGTTCAGTGGTATTAATTTCATTCACATTGCTTTTTGGTCTTGCTCTGCCACCCAGGCTGGGGTACAGTGGCATAATCATGGCTCACTGCAGCCTCCACCTCCAGGGCTCAAGCGAGCCTCCCTCCTCAGCCTCCCAAGTAGCTGGGAACACAGGTGCACATATCCATGCTCAGCTAACTTTTTTCAGTTTTTGTAGACACAGGTAAGAGGCGGGACTTGATTCTGGAGGCAGAGCTCAGACACCAGACCAGACTGAGGACTAGCTAAATCAGGGAAGAGGCGGAAGCAGCTCTCCATAAGACACGCCCACCACTGTGCCAGTGTCAGTTTACCGTTGCCATGGCAACACCTGGAGGTTATCCACCCCATGGCAATGACCCAATGACCTGAAAGTTACCACCCTTTTCTAGAAATGTCTGCATGCTTCACCTCTTAATTTGCATGTAATTAAAAATGGGCATAAATATGACTGCAAACCTGCATCTGAGCTGCTAGTCTCTGCACACTGCCCTCGGGTAGCTCCGCTCTGCAGGAGCGGTCGTGAGCTGTAGCACTGCCACCTCAGTCAAGCGGTTTTCTTCCACCACCTTCAGTTCTTTCCTGGGCAAAGCCAAGAACCCGCCCAGGCTAAGCCTCAATCTGGGCCTTGCTGCCCTGCATCATCCCTATGTTGCTCAAGCTGGTCTCCAGCTCCTAGGCTCAAGCGATCCTCCTGCCTTGGCCTCCTGAAGTGCTGGGATTACAGGTGTGAGCCACTACACCCAGCCTGTTTTTCCTCTTCTCTCTCTATCTCCCTCCCCCTCTCTCCCTTCCTCTCTCTCCCTCCCTCCTTTTCCCTCCCTTTTTTTTTCTTTTCTTTCTCTTTCTTTCTCTCTTTCTCTTTCTTCTTTTCTGATAGCCACTACACCCAGCCTATGTTTGACCTCTTTTCTCCTTTTTCTCCTCCTTTCTTTTTCTTTCCTTTCCTTTCTTTCTTTTTCTTTCTCCTTCCTTCCCTCCTTCCTTCCTTCCTTCCTTCCTTCCTTCCTTCCCTCTCTCTCCTCTCTCTCTCTCTGTCTCTTTCTCTGTCTTTCTCTCTCTCTCTTTTTTGAATCAGGGCCACCCAGGCTGGAATGCAGTGTGCAATTTCACCTTACCGCAACGCCTGTAATCCCAGCACTCTGGGAGGCTGAGGTGAGCGGATCACAAGGTCTGGAGTTCGATACCAGCCTGGCCAATATGGTGAAACCCGATCTCTACTTAGCCCCACCGCAGCTCAAATGATCCTCCCACCTCAGCCCCCCAAGTAGCCAGGACCACAGGTGCACACCACCACATCTGGCTTTTTTTTTTTTTTTTTTTTTTTTTTTTTTTTTTTTTGTATTTTTTGTAAAGACAGAGTCTTGCCATATTGCTCAGGCTGGTCTCAAACTCCTGAGCTCAAGCGATTTACCCACCTCGGCCTCCCAAAGTGCTGGTATTACAGGCGTGAGCCACCACACCCAGCCTTGCTCTATCTTCCTGAAGGCAGGTGATCTACACACATCATTTGGAATCCTGCATGAGAGATTCGCTACTCACTTTTTTAGACTTAATTTTGCTTGGCTTATAATGTGCAATACAGTAACATTTGGTAGGAACCATCTGCTCTTCCCGCCAGCGCCGAAAGCAAGCTGCACGTGGTTTGCAGCAATGAGGCACACGGCACATTCTGCCGGCTCGCTGCTGCGGCACCCATCACCAAAGCGTCTGCCTACCTGGCCAGCTTCCTTCCAGGACTTCGGGTGCCTGGAAAGTGGAGACCTCACTCGATTCATCTGCAGAGTCACAGTGCCTGTGGCAGGGCCTGGTGTGTGACAGCTTCTCAGGATGGCATTCATCACATCAACGGCAAAGCCACCTAACCCACCTTGCTAGCAGTTAAGTAATAAGAGTTGTGCTTTGGCTAACACAGACCAGACCTCTCTCTGCCATTCTGCCACCCCAGAGCAAGGCTCCCTTGCATTCTTTTTTTTTTGAGACAGAGTCTCACTTTATCCCCAAGGCTGGAGTGCAATGGCACAATCTTGGCTCACTGCAACATCCGCCTCCTGGGTTCAAGTGATTCTCCTGCCTCAGCCTCCCGAGTAGCTGGGATTACAGGCATGCACCACCACATCTAGCTAATTTTTGTATTTTTAATAGAGGTAGAGTTTTGCCATGTTGGCCATGCTGGTCTTGAACTCCTGACTTCAGGTGATCCATCTGCCTTGGCCTCCCAAAGTGCTGGGATGGCAGGCGTGAGCCACCGCACCCGGCCTCCTTTGCATTCTTTCTGGAACTGTAGTCCTAGTGTCAGTCCTGTTGAGCCCTCCTCAAGGCCCCTTGCCCTCTCTTTTTCTAAAGCTCTGAGCAATATTTGACTAACCAGAGGCAGCTGTAC